GCCGCTACGTAGCGAAGGTTTAGGATGACAGGTGATATTTGGGGAAAGCGGCCCTTGCGGGCCCCCGAAATGTGGATATTTTTGTTTGCCTCCACTATATGACTCTTCTACTTCGCCTTTTTTGTTTTGGCCGAGAACCGGCTTTCTCCGTATGCTGGAAATCAAAACCTAACGGGGGTTCTAACCTTTGACCCCGGTACTAGGAAGTCTGCCTCCGTCCGTGTTTCCAGTGGAGAGATTCCCCATCACTTGCTGGAACAGGAAGTGAAGGGAATCTTCTCAACGGGGACACACTGGAACAGGAAGTCAAGGTAATCTTCTCAACGGGGACACGCTGGAACAGGAAGTCAAGGGAATCTTCTCAACAGGGACACGCTGGAGCAGGAAGTCAAGGGAATCTTCTCAACGGGACACACTGGAACAGGAAGTCAAGGGAATCTTCTCAACGGGAACAGGAAGTGGAGAATCTTCCCAATAGGGACACAATGGGACAGAAAGTCAAGGGAATCTCTTGAATGGGGACACACTAGAATAGGAGGTGAAGTGAATCTCCCCAGTGGAAACACACTGGAACAGGAAGTGAAGGTAATCTTCTTAACAGGGACACACTGGAACAGGAAGTGAAGGGAATCTCCCCAATGGAAACACACTGGAACAGGAAGTGAAGGTAATCTTCTTAACAGGGACACACTGGAATAGGAAGTGAAGGGAATCTCCCCAATGGGGACACATGGGAAGATTCCCTTCACTTGGTATTCCAAACGGGGACACACTGGAACAGGAAGTAGAGGGAATCTCCTCAATAGGAGCACTTTGGAACAGGAAGTCGAGTGAATCTCCCTATCAGGAACATTAATAAGAAACAACAAGCAAAGCTTCCAACTGCTCATCATTCAAAGCAAGACGAACCCTTGGGGCGCAATTTACTAAAACCGGAGCAGAGAGAATCTGGAGCGGCTGTGCGCGGCGACCAATCAGCTTCTCTCTTCTTCAGCTTGTTCAGTTAAGCGTTGGAAATGAAAGCTCAAATCTGATTGGTTGACATTACAGCTGCCCCAGTCTTTGTAAATTGTGGCCGGAGCTGATATATATACAAGAGAGGAGGAGAGGGGGAGGTGTTCTGGCGTGTGACAACACTGCTCCTCTATAGAGACAGTACAGTGAGCGTTGTCACACTGGGAGGTGAAAATAAAGGGAAAAAATGTCAGAGAATTGAATGCAGCCGCCGCATCTAAGGACGGGACGCTGCAATGTGAGGGGGGAGGGGCTTAGATACATTGTAAATTCTTCAGCTGAGAACTATGAAGGTCACAGGTGTCCATAGACAATATAAACAGGTTCAGAGCGCCGGAGAGAAGAGAAAAGGAGGTTTTGTTTTTCTTGTATCATTGTGAGAAGAAAGAAGGAAACTTTGTACATCGCACATCCTATGTTT